TGAGTGTTTGGTTTCATCTCACATGTATTGTATGATCATATTTTCCATTTGTGTTTGACTTATGAGATGTTTGCATGGACTTTGGTGTTTCATATTGAGTGTGTTTCTTCTTGCCCTTGTTTGATAACTTGAATTTGAACTTGATGCATATCATTTGAGTTTACTTATTATTTTGATGAGTGGATACTTGATCTTGATGCTTTGGTGGCATGTGTCTCACTTTGAGAATGATGTGAATGTTTGAACTTGTTTTGAAGTGTTTGGATGTTTTCTTTTGAAAGACCATGGATGAATGTTTGACTTTGATGATCATGGTGTGCTTGCTGCCCCAACCCATTCCTCTCCTCATTTCTTTGTTTGTGATTTGATGATTGATATCATTCTTCTTAAGATGTTTAAGGCATGATATGTTGTGTGTTTTGCTTTGTTTGCCTTTGTGTTCTAACTTGCATTTTGTTGATTTGAGCTTGAAATGTGTGTGTCATTGGTGTATGTCTCATGTTTGCATATTCATTGTTGTTTGTGTTTATGTTTCTCTCATTTCATTTCATCTTTCATGACTTTTTTAAGTCTTTCTTTCTATCTCCATTTGTGATTGATTAGTGATATGTTTACTTGTGCTTGTTCACATGACCCCTTAGGATTCCTAGTCCCTCTGTTTAAGATGGGAGTAGGAGAGACATTAGGCTTTCAATCCTTTGTATGATAACATTAGGTAGACTTCCCTTTCATCCCAACTTTAGGACCACTTTGCATGATAACATTAGGGTTCTCAGTCCCCTTTGGTGTCCTTGTGTCTTCCCTTATCATCTCAAACTCCTCTAAGATACTTAATAAAGAATGACAAGTGTTGTATGCTATGGGCCTTAAGCACATGACAAATGATAAGTGGGGAGGTCTCTCTTCACATTGTCTAGAGTGTTTAGCATATGCCCTTCGGGCGATATGTGACGCATTCATTCTTATGTCATAGTATTTAGTGCAACATGAGTCTCAAATCAATTCAATTCACTTCTTCTAAAATTCACAAACAAAATTCAAACCTTTTCATCCTTCGGGATTGTTCTTTAAACTTCATTTTCGAAAAGAGTACGTTACTTTTCTGTTCTACCGTAAACAGGCATCGTCCTTAACTGCTGGAATTGAGATTTAACGTCACTCATAGAAAACATTTAACCCACCTTTCATCTGTAGTTATCCGAACTACGTTTGCTCTGATTTCTCATATCAGATGAGGATACGTAGGCACAAGACGGTGATGTCTTGGCGAGCAACCTCCCCCCATCACCCGTAGTTTTCTGAACTACGTTGACTCTGACTTTCCCGTTGCACGAGGGAATATGTAGGCATAGGGCGGCAATGTCCTATCGAGTCTGTTCTTTCTCTTCACCCCTGTTTAGCAGTAGCTTTTAGGTAGCTTTCACCCATAGGTTAGACAACAAGCGTGGATCCTGTTGAGTACAACGGACGTGAGGGGTGCTCATACCTTCCCCTTGCGTAACCGACTCCCAAACCCAAGATTTGGTTGCGATGACCTTGTCTTTTCCCGTTCTCTTAGGTTTTCTTCGATCGTTTCCTTTCCCTCTCTTTGGGATAAATAATGTTTGGTGGCGACTCTTCTGTTTGTTTCTGTCGGCCCTTTTCGCAGTTGCGACACAGAGCAACAAAATTTCAATTGAATTAAAATTAAACTTATATTTTGGCATTCCCCGGCAACGGCACCAAAAACTTGATCGGAAAAATAACAAGTGTACTATTTTGCCAATGTAATAATAAGAGGGAATTTCCCCGAATATTGATCTCGAGGATTGCGTAGGAATACAAATTTTGATTTCAATTCAATTAAACAAAAAGTACTTGGGGTTAAGTATTGTTTTATGAAATTATAAAACAATTGCAAAAAAATAAAGAAAGTATGAGTGTTTTAGAAAATATATGAGTAAATTATGCTAGAGATGGTGTGTGATATGACTCAGTAACAACTCTGAATTACACCGCAACAACTTATTGTAACCAACTAGTTACCGATTCTTTATAATGTTTACCCCTAAGTCCTTAGTGAGAAAACCTTTAATCATCTACCCTAATTCTGATGTCCATAGAAAGTTACAGATGAAATTAAACAATCAATTATCAAGAATATTCTGGTTCCTATAGGGTATCCCTAGTCCTAGGTGATATCTACTACAGAATGATCCAAATCAAATCATTAACAACGACGGTCCAACCTAATCGTTAATAAAAAATCAAACCCTGTTTGTCCGACAGGGCAAGCATTAAGACTAGCTAGAGATCAAATCAGTTATGAAAAGCAAATGAATTATTATTGCAATACTAATATCAGTCATTACAGATTCAAATCAGAGACACCCCCTAGCATTGGGGGGTTTAGCTACTCATAATATTCGAAGAAAATACAAAGTAAAACCTAGACGTTACAAGATAATAGGATTCTTTGATCTTCAATTGCTTCCTCTCATGAAAACCTTCAGTTCCCCAATCACCTTGATCTCTCCAATCTTGATTGTGTAATTCTTCTCCCATCAAAAAAAGTCTCGGTTTTCTTCTCAAAAAGCATTTAAAATACTCCCAGGTCTAACACAGCAGTAGGGAAATGCCCAAAATACCCTCATGGGTCACATAAGTCAAAAATCCAAGAAAGTTAAAAGATGAAACACTTCATCCAACACGGGCCATGTGAGCTGACACGGGCGGCCGTGTCAGCCCCCTGGATTCTCCCTTTCTTGCATCTTTTCTTGGTCAGGCATATCCTCCTGACACGGCCCGTGTCAGGAAACATGGGTGGTCGTGTCAGGCCTTCTGTAGCTTGCCAATTTCACTCCCAGAAATACTGTATTGTCCACTTTTTTGCTCTGATTCTTCCTGATTGCTTACCTGAACCTAGAAACAATGGAAATACCAAACCAACGCATAAAACTTAATACATGGAAATAAAATGCAACTAAATATATAAGACGATTAATTAAAACTATCGGTAAAATAACGCATAAAAACCACTGATCATACATCACAGAAGAATCTGTTGAGTTTTGTATAAACTATTTGTCGGACGCAGATTCTATAGGAATTCCAAAGTATCGTCATGCTGACACAGACAGAAGAGGTATTCAAGGTCTAAATGTTAAGTCAATGGCTCAAGATGTAGTTATTCAAGCACATTTTTATATATTGAATAATATAGATGAAGTTCAACCTGTCATAGATACTCACGAAAGACTTTTGAGGAAAAAAACATCCTCGAATGAGTGACAAGTTGTTGTTGATAGAGCATAACAAGAGATTCATATATTGGTTTTATAAAAGTGTATCTAATGACCGCAGTGCATCCGAGATACTTAAATGGTTGTCGTACGAGCCAAAATTTTGTATCATTACTTGGATTGCATACGACATTGGTCATTATACCTTTTATACAAAATCAAAAGATGATTGTAGTACAATGCAAAATAGTGGGGTTATGGTTGAATCTGAATCAATGTATTTTGCTAGTTCGAAAGATAAGAATCTTGTATAGGCAACTACCGCATTTTGTGGTGTCATTGATGAGATTTGGAAGATTGATTATGTTATTTTCAAAGTGCATTTATTTAAATGCAAGTGGGTTCCCAATAACAGTAATGGTGTACACATTGATAACTTAGGATTCACCCGGGTCGACCTTGGCAAGGCATCTTTTATGACCGAACCATTTATCATGGCTTCTCAAGCAAAACAAGTTTTCTATGTTACCGACCCATCGGACACACCGGGAAATGGTCAATCGTTCTCCAAGAAAAACACATTCCTCTTAATGATGAAAGTCTTGATATTCCGTCCACACCTTACACAACACAAGTTCCTACCTCATATGATAAAGTTGATGGGGATGTCGTGCATGCTATTCGAATCGATCATGAAGAAGGCATATGCAAAAATTAACAAGTACGTAATTTATTCTTTATTCATAATATATTAATTGTATGTTATAGTTTCTAAGTATTTTTACTAACAAGTATAATCATTTGAAATCATAGGTCTTTAGAGTCAAGACACCAAGAGACAAGAAACCAAAACACCAAGTTACAATTATGTGATGTTATGTAATGTGTAAACTAAAGGTTGTTTGTTCTAATAAATTATAGGATGTTTGTTTTGATACAATTGAATATGATACAATTATGTGATATTATGAATATGATACAATTAATATTATTATGATAACTTTATCACAAATGTGAGTTGTATTTTCTGACGTGATATGGTGAACAATATTACAGGTTAAAAAATGGGATTAATTATAAAAGAAGGATAATATTTGTTAATTCTACCGAAAATATAACAACTGTTATATATCATAATTGTGATAATATATGTAAATTATGCCGAAAATTTAACAACGATTATATAACATAACCATTATAATATCTTGAGCGTTGTCCAGAAAAAAACAAATATCAAAACGTTGCAGCTGGGAATCGAACCTATGACCATTTTTTTATCACAACGGTTTTATGGAAAACCCGTTGTGATAGGGTGCACGCTTTTCAATTTATTACAACGGTTATTGAGTTGTGATTGTAAATATCATATATAGAACAACACGCTACATAACAACGCTACATAACAACGTTTGTGTCTACGTGATTATATATTATTCTCAATCGTTGTTAAATAGATTTTCCGTAATAGTGTTTGCTTATTAAAAAAAAACTATATTGTAAGAGAATGTAATAGTTGGACTAAAAATCAATTATAAACCTTAAAGAAATATAATAATTTGGTAAATCATTTTGGCAGCATATATATTAGATACTACTAGTAGATTCGTGCATACTATAAATAGAAGAGATCTTATAGTTTAGCTTTAATGTTCACTCTAGCCACAAATTTAACAATACAAGAATAACACATCATTTTATTCCAAAATTATTCTCAACATCCTTAATTGTTACCCTCCATTGATTAATTAGCACAATTTCAAAGCAAGCCTTCATCTAAATATGAATCAAATTGAGAAAGGATTGAACAAAAAGCAATTATTGAAAAGAACTTTGCAGTTTGCTCTCTCAATTTCTGCTTTTTCTATCTTCCTTTGTTACTACTCTTCTGGATTTTTTATAAACACTCAAACCTTGAATCTCTACTTCTTCTACACATGCTTTTTCACTTTTTTCACTCACACCCTTGAAAGGAAATACATGTTTCTCATTTGTAATGGAATCCTTGCGGTTCTAGCTAAGAACTTGTTCATCATCACAGCAACATCTTCAGATTCTGAGTCTCTCCCTATTGTAAGTTTTGAATCTTTAGAGGAAGTTGGTGATGTTATGGTTGATGAATACTACGAAGAAAAAGTTGAAGTTGAAGAACATAAAGAAGGTAGCTTATATATCCAAAATGAAGGGATTGATGAAGAAGGAGGGACAGAAACTGAGGATGTTGCTAATGTGTTTGTACAAGATGATGATGATGATGATGAAGAAGAAGTAGAAGAAACAACATTGACAACAAATGAAGAATTAGTGAATACAGAAGAATTGGACAGAAAGTTTGAAGAATTTATAAGGAAAATGAAAGAGGAGATGAAGATTGAAGCTCAAACACACCTTACTGCAGTTTAGTATATATCATATATGTAACAAAAATAAGACAATGAATTAAGTGTTGGTGTCTAATTTTATAGGACTAAGTGTTGCTTTATATCCCTCTAGCAGCTTCTTTTTTTTTCAGCCTTTTAAATTGTGCCATGTTATTTTAGAAATTTTGGAATGTAAAGCAAACTCATGAAACATTGAATTTCAAAACATATGTCATATGTGTTATCCACACACAGTTAGTTCATTAAGGTGACAATTATTTTCAAGCATCAACCCATCATTGACTTTGTCTATTTCCCCTTCAGTGGCGTTTAGCTTTAACCAATACAATTTTGCTCCACAGTGATTTTGATAGAGGGGTTAGTAGGCAACTTAAAAAGTATATAACGAGTATTTGAGTTTCATTGTTTTTTTTTGGTGATTTTATATCAGGGTCGACCCCGTGGAGGAGTGCAGCAAATTATACAGCGTTTCAAATTTTAAAAGGTTTCAAATTTTACAAAGTTCAACTATATATATATATATATATATATATATATATATATATATATATATATATATATATATATATATATATATATATATATATATATATATATATATATATATATATATGTTATAAAAATTCAATAAATTTAAAAAATGCTATGATAAAAAACTAATATATTAAAAAAAGAAATAGATTAAAAGGTAAAATAATCATAATTGAATTTATTTTTTATTAATATATAATTATATTTTTATAGTGGAAATATTAGTTATTATAATTGTAGTTTTTTTTATTTTAAATTTGAGTCTATTTTTTAAAGTAGAACGAGCCTCCAAATTAATTGGATGAGCCCTGTTTTATAATATTAAATATTTGTGTTATTCAATTATTAATACCATTTAATGTAAAAAGCATTATTAAAACTCACATTTATTATAAATATAAAAAATTATATATTCTTTTATTTCAATATATATATATATATATATATATATATATATATATATATATATATATATATATATATATATATATATATATATATATATATATATATATATATATATATATGTCTGTGTTATTCGATTATTAATACCATTTAATTTAAAAAGCATTATTAAATAAAAATAAAATCCACAGTTATCAATATAGCTTTTGATATATTTATCAGATTAAATTACTTGTTTTAAGGAAATAGAAATAAAGTATATTAAATCAATAACATTAAAGGGTCTGTTTGTTTTAATTTAAAAAATATATTTTTTGTATTTTTCTAAATTATAAAGATGTTTTTTTAAATATTTAAAAAAATTAAACTCATTTTTTTAAGTTAAACTGATGACATCAAACAACAAAAATATACATTATTAAATATTAAAATATAGTCAAACTAACAATTATATATATATATATATATATATATATATATATATATATATATATATATATATATATATATATATATATATATATATATATATATATATATATATATATATATATATATATATATAATATGATTTTTATAAAAAGGTATTCAAAATTGTGATTTTTTTAATTTTAATATTATAAAAAAATTACAATAAAACTTAAAATAACATGTGAAGAAAAATTATTTAAGCCAATTTTTAGTTTGAAGCTTTTTTTTAAAGAATTTTTATAATAAAAAATTTCAAAAACATTTAAAACTATAAAAATCTTTTTTTTTTTTTTAAGTGGAACAAATTTGGACCATAATAGACCATTTTTTTCAGTAGTCCATAGTAAACACCAACTATTAATGCTCCCTTTCTGTCATCAAATAAAATAAAACCGGACAATAATAAACCAAAGTAATTAATAAAGTTTTTACACTCAAGTGGTTAGGAAAGACATGTTCTATGTGTGCCAAAGGGAAGGACCCTCTCTTAAATGAAGTACTGTATTCAACATATCAAATAATTATGTCAATCCTTTAAAAGAGAAATCTAGAAATATATGTCTACACTTTGTGACAAATATAGTGTGCGCACATGCATAAACAATAACATTGATAAGTACAACAACTAAAATCTTTAATACAACAACTATGTTGAAAAATGACATTTAATTGTAAGAAGACAAGTATATATATCTGGGCACTAGCCGTCCATGTTCATTAAATCAATAATCATGTGGTTCCAAATATTCAGCTATAAAAGGAGGGAGAAAATATTGAAGAGATTGTGGACACAATTTCAGCTCGGACACAATCTGCTCTAGAAATATGGAGAAACTGCCCCCCACATATTTTTAAGTTATATCAATACGAGTGTTCTTTGAAACTTCCAGAACTTGCTTGTTGACAGGAAGTTAGTATGGAAAAATATCTTCGCATATTTTACCAAGTGTATCTTCAGACGGAGTTTTAATCGAAAATGTGTTAGATCCTTTTCCTTTTTCATTTTCAACAAATTCATTAAAATTCTCAAACCCTCTCAAGTCACTTATAAGTTTTTATTCTCAATATCTAATCAATCGAAGTGTTCAACATCAGCTACATATTTGATAAGTTTTTTAATTCAAAATTTTCACATTTAAATTTTTATACATGCTTTTAGAAATATGAACAATAGGATGTGTAATATACATCAATATATAGATAGTTATTATCATTGTTAGGAAGTTTAACTAAGCAATGTGTTTTGTGCATTTTTGTACCCTGCGGTTCTACCATTTTTATTTTTTCGAGTTGTAGGTTAATACGAAAGTATACTTTCATATTTGTTTAGAATTTGATTTTCAAAGAATACAGAAGTGCATTTATGTATTATGTTTGTCTACATTATTTGGTTTGAATTTCAATATCACTCATTTGGATTTGACTTTTTCTGCTTTGTATTGCTTGTTTGACTTAATTATAGGTAACATGGTTGATAATCAAGATCGATTGACGTTCAGCAGAGTGTCACATCATGCATCAGTTCATAGGGAAAGAGCCCCTCGAGATCACCGGTCAATGTCATTTCATTTCATGTGGATGTGTCAACTTCTAGGGTTCAGACATCTTCGACTTTGTCTTCTCGGAGGAGGTAGGTGTCGCCTGCTGTTGCCATGGAAGCCCCACATGTCAAGGTTGATGCACCTACTATCGATGCATACATTCTTGAGGAATTTTGACGGGGCCCGTATGACACATCACTGTTGTCTCTGTATGAAAATCATGCTTCCAGACATGTTTGGGACGGAGAGGTCAAATATATCTGTATTTATTATTTGAAACACATTTGGTATAATATTCGAACATTCACATGAATATGTATTTTTTGCAGTATTGTGATGCTTTAAAATGCATCAACCATGGTCGAAAGATTGTGAGATTGCAACAGCCTGATAAGTAGTGGTTTAATGATGTCATGCAATTATATGGGCTACGAGATTTATGCATGATCGGCTATACTATTATTAACTATGGTATTCTTTCAGCGTTCATTAGATATGAAACGCTGTGATGGTATTTGTCCATCTTTCGCACAGTGAGTGTCCATCACACTGGACGATGTGGCATGCCTACTACATCTTATGATCAAGGAAATACTATTAGACTACATAGAAGACACAAGAGGGTGCCATGCTAGATTTGGATTCTTGGAGAGCATGTATGCACACCACCTGACTGCAGCAGAGCAAACCGATGGTGATAATGAACATGTTATGTTTCATAAAGCTTATGAATTGAGGTCATACCTTTTGTACTTGGTTGGCACATCCATATTTGTGGACAAGAGTGTCTATTACGTGGATGTAATTTACCTCAAATACTTCACTGACTTGGAGCAGATTCATGAGTACAATTGGGGGCCACTTAGTTGGTTTACCTGTACTCCAAGTTAGTTGAAGGTTATCTTTGGAAGATCAAACAAATGATAGTTAGTCGTACGCTAGTGACAATAATATATTTGCATCATTTACTGTTTCTATACCATTTTCATAACACTCGCCATTACTCATAATTTATCTGTACCATTTTCAGGCATGGATTTTCCAACACTTCGCACACATCTCTAGTTAGTCATATGTTGATCACTACACTGAAGATATGCCACGTGATTGTGTATTTGTCCTTCTCAGAGGGAATCAATTTATCAAGCCCTTTAGAGTATATCTTGACAGCACAACAATAGATGGCATACGCTTTCTGTAATATCCTAAAATTTATAATTGATTATTTAATTGGTTAATTATGATTTATTGGTGAATATATGCGAATTATTGTTGATTAAGGCATGTTGTGGGGTAGTGGTGGATTAAGGTGTTAATTACTATTATTTAGAATTAAATAATTGTAGTTATATTATTTTAGAGTTATAATAATAATTTTAGTTATTATTATTTAGAATAAATGAAGATAATAGAATAATAAGGTGAAAAGAGAGAATAAGCGCAAGAAGGTAATTATGGTGAAGATTAGTGAGGGTGTGTTCGCCGTGAAAATTGTGAACAACCGCTGGTCTTCCAAATCAAAAAAGATTTTTTTTAATTGCAGGATCGACCACACAAATCTTAAGACATGTGCTAGTTGAACTTAAACAAAGTTTGGAAAAACAATGAACACTTCGACAGAGTTCATGATAAAAATAACTTGTTTCACAAATGTAAATTGAATTGAACACAAGAGATTAAAGTCGAAAGACTGGTAAGAAATGTAGAAAGTAACTTGTGCAAGGAAAAGATAAATTCTTAATGAAAAGACTTATTGAATTACATTGAAATGTAAAAATGGTATTGCATCAACGTACATTCTCACAAACTCGTTTCTCTACACGCGGTTACTTTGAGTATATTGAGGAATTTGTACACAATTGAACACACACATCAATCCTAAAACTAAGACTTGTTATTTATACTAATAAAAAATAACTGCCATCAACGGCTAACGAACTAGATCGAGGCAAGTGGTGTTCTGCATGTCTTCAAATCTTGGAAGCGCTCCACGTGCCTTCTTTGAGAAATGGATAAGAATAAACATTTCCTCCTTTATTTTAATTCAAATCTTCCTGTCGAAATGCCTTCAGTA